GAATCAGCTGCTTGTTCGTTTGCTGCTTGTGGAATCAACCAGCATCTCATCACTCCATCTCTATCTTCGTTCACCATCCATCCAAACTGTATAAGACTCCCCCGAGTCTTACATCACACATGGTCATTTTTTCTTTACTGTAGTCGTTTTTCTTAAGTATTGAATATATTTTTCCTTATGACATTTTTTTTTTAATTCAATAATATTTTAATATAAATAATCAGTCGAATGTGTTTTTTATTAAAATAATATTAAAAAAAACATCCAGACGTAACACAAATGTAAAGTCTAACTGTGTTAAATAATCAGTGAACTAAAGTAACCTATTATATTATTTGTAAAATAAATCGGGCTGTGGTTTAACGCACAGTTTTTAATGTCGTTTTGATTAATAAATTTTTGATGATTTAACTGGTTGATAATCGTTATAAATTGATTGGTTGAATTAGCTAATTTTTAATTATTAAAATGGATATTAATTGTTTTAAAAATGGAAAACTTCTGCTATTGAGATTAGAAATGTTATAGGCCATAAGCTTTTCTCTCGAATAATTTGGCTCAAATATAAATGTCAAAATCGATTAAGCTAATATATAATTTTCAACTTATTGTGTTCAATGAAAAAGTGGATAGGCATGTGGGTTTAGTGTTTCATTTGTCTTCAAATTTTATATGGGTTCAATTCCCATCTTTCGATTGTGGTTTATTTTCTTTCTTTTTTTATTTGAACCAGGAATCTAATATATTCTTAGAAGCTGATTGGTTTACAATAAAAAGGAGATTCGTCTAATGGTTTGAACTTTGGTAAATATAGGTCATGAGTTCGAGTCTATGGTCTGTTTAAATTTCAAAAGATCTATTATTTTCTCAGTTTTCTAATATTTTGAATATTTATTTAAAGCCGCATTATGAAAAAAAATTTGATTTGATTGATATTTTGCAAACAGATATATGTCATATTTCCTTTGTTTTTATCTAAATTGGAAGATTTATTTTCTTATCTATTAATATCTTCTAAACTTATGGAAAAGATAATATTGTATCTTAGGTTTCCGTGTTATAAAATAAAAGAAAAATTATCTTTTGTAGTTATCATAAATAATATTATAAGGTTGGTGAGTTGTTATCGTGAATTTATTTCTTAAAAAAAAATTCAACTAAACCCTAAGTTATTTAAACATATAAATATATTGTGTATTTAAAAAACTGTCTTATAATCTTACAATTTAGTTTTTCTGCTAGGGTTTCATAGTTTCTACTTATGTGATAGTCTATTTGTTATGTTATAGGGTTTTTATAGTAGCATCAACTTTTTTGATTTTTTAAATCGTTCATGATGTTTGTCTACTTGCATACAAACCTAACCATGTGTTCGTCTAAGTACAACTTTTCTCATCCATCTAAAATGATGATTTCTTGGGAAGTTTGTCTACTTCTTCAGGTACAGATTTAACTTTCTTAAAAGTAATAATATTATGCTCTTTACCTTTTTTAAAGGATTTTGCTGTTTTTGGTCATTGCTAGGTTTTGGTAACCAGGCTATTGTTCGCGACTACTCTTATGTGTTGAATAAATATCACCATATCTGAAGCCCGAGTATGAATAAAAAAAAAGATCCGATTACGGTTATGTTACTCCATACGTTTTGCAAAAAAAGGGTTACTGTTCGTTTTCATAGTATTTAAATTATTATAATACATTTTTAATTTGTGTTTCGTTTTAGGTTATCCATGTGAATTACTTATGGATTCGGGTATCGACTCTTGGATTTTGGGGTCTTACCATTCTGTAATCGAAGGTTTGCAGTGTTTTCTTTTAATCGTCAATTTCTCCATTTTCTGGTTTGATTTTTTCTTTTATCCTTCGGGTATTAGCTTTTTTTCAACGGTCCATACTTGTTTTTTCTCAATGGAAACTCCAAAAACGGTGGGCATTCCGGTTACTCTCAAGAGAGTAAACTATCTGTACTCCATTGTATGAGTAGTAATCAAAGATGTACTCCATCCTACGCTCCCACTCCAAGTAAGCCTCAGAGTTTACCCTGCCAGCAAAAGTAGGTGCCATTAGCTTAACATCATGTTGGTTTTGTCTATTACCTTCATCATCTCGGTGGTGGCCTCGGTTGAAGATCTCTTCTTCTCTGACGTGGCCTCGGTGAATGGGGTCTCTCCTCCTTTGGTTTTGTTGCAAGTCAGGAGGATCGCCTTCCGAGGGTTTGGGTCCTTGTCTTCTAGTTCAGGCATTTCTTCATCGTCTTGCTGGGCGTTCTGTTGTTGCTGAACGGATATGGGTCGGGCAGGCTCTCGTCTTGGTACCTCCAGCCGGCCCACTCTCTCCTCCATACGGCCTAGTTGTGCGGCCATGTCTTGCCTCATCGCGGCAATAGCTTGCAAGATGGTATCTTGAGGTGCTATGGGGGAAATCTCCATGGCTGAAATCGCTCAAAACACACAAGGAAATCAAACGCAACTGCTGTTCTAAGGATTTAAGAACTTAAAACTAGATGCAAATAATAGATGAAACTAACTTTTCTTTTTAGGGTTTTCTTTGCGAGCAACTTAACTAGACGGTATGAGGCAAGACTAACTAGATGCAGAATGAAACTTTTTATGGGTTTCCGATTGTTATGAATGACAAACTAATGCAAAATAACACGAGATGATTCTTTATTTTTTTTTTGACAGATTAAACTAGACAATGATAACAAGAATGAAAAAAAACTTGGAAAACAAGTAATTCGATATGGAATAGATATCACCTGGCTAGAACCTTTCGGCTCTGATACCAAACTGATATAAGATCGGGGTGGAAGTGAGGGTGGATCCAAGTGATTGGCCGAGAGGCTCTCATCACTTAGAGGAGATATGATCGGGTGTGGAAAGACGGAACCTAAGTAACTGGCCGAGAGGCTCTCTTTACTTAGATTGGTAAATGAATGAAGAACAAAGGACCAAGGGATCGATGTGACGCCACACAACTGATGGAGAGGCTGTGATAAGTTGGTGAATTCAAGAACACAAGGGGAAACCACACAAATGCTCAAGAACTCGGAGAAGAGGCGGCTGCTCTAAGAAAATACGCTCTTTATTGATTTAGGGTAAAAAGTGTGTCTTACAATGCCGCATGTGGGACTTTATAAACAGTCTTTCGGTCTTGACCTTCTAGGGTCGACAGAGACTCAAGAAAAGGAAAAAAAAGCTTGCGGAAGACTCTTGTAAAAGTAAATAAAGCAAAATGGAAACATTACTAAAGTTCTCGACTAAATTAAAAGGAAATATAACTAATAGGGACCTTAAGACAAATTCTGCAAAACAAAGAGAGGGAAACTCGTTAGTTTAAAATATAATTAAACCAAACACTCACCTTGGTGTCGTTTTGACACTTAGTCGCTTGTAGCTTCAATGGAGAAGATCATGCGAGCTCCTTGAGTCTTTATTAGTGGTCATTCCACAGCTGGTGTAGACTTGATGCTTGTATCGCCTTGATCTTGATCTTCAAGCTTTAGTTCTTCCTCACTCTGGTCCTTTTCTTGTATGAATAGCATCTTGTCCTCCGTTAAACTCATTGCTACTTGGTTGAGAAGCGGCTGATCGAGGCAGAGTTGATCAATGCCTTTGGTGATGTCTTCCAAGTTGCTTTGGTTGATCAGGGTGTCCATGACATTGTTGAACTCTTCTCTGAGCTTTTGTAGTCCTGATCTTGTCTTTGGAGGATTCTTCATGGTTGGAAAAGTATCTTTAGGGACCATGTCCTCATCACCTGTCCCAGTATCTAGGGAACCAGGCCAAGTATAAGTAGACCTTTTAGGCGGGAACACTATTCAAATTTCCCTCCATTTGACAAAAGGGATGTGCTTTAGTCTGATATGATTACCCATACCCTTACAAACCCATGAGATTGGCATTTAATGCATCTTCCTTACGTATGTCAGGTGACAATGACTTTTCGCAGGAGCCAAGAGGAAAAGCAGAGGTTTTGCAAAGACCCATACTGCGTCTGAACCGCTCATCCAACTCTTACACCGAAGACGAAAAGGACGCGCCAAAGAACGGTTTGGCAGCAGGCAAAATACGCCAAGGAAAATTGGTGAGACTGTCAGAAGCATTACGCCATCTCAAGATTCGAACCCAGTCAAGACAGGTCGTGGGCCGACTCACTCGACTCAAGCATCACGCCCTTCGTAGTTTTCGAATCCGGATCCGGATAATAAAATTGATTATCCGATAGATCCGGATCCGGATACCTTGAAAAGTCCGGATATCCGGCTCCGTTCCAGTCCTAACTCTTAGAGGCATATAGCTTTAGGTTTTATTTATAATATATTTAGATATTAACGCTGGAAGATTCTATACAAAGCCCATTGCGGCAACTGATTTTGGTGATGTGATATGATGATGATGATGTGGACCAATAAAATTAGTCTTTAAAATCCTATATGGACACCTTGAGAAGCATATAGCTTCAACTTTTATTAGTATAAGATTATTATCTGAAATATCATGTTAACACAATTATGTAAATTATTAATTTTGACACATTATATTTTATATAATAAAATCTCTTTCCAGGATATACGATGAGCCTATGAACTCAATATTCATTGAGCTGCCTTGAGTATATATATAATGGTGGAGCATAATATTAAAAAAAAATTCTAAAACTGATATAATTTTTCTTTCGATTTTTTTTTTATAACTTTTATTCCTTTTTAAGAAGTGTTTATCTATTTTTAAAAATTCTTATCTGAAATATCATGTTAACACAATTATATAAATTATTAATTTGACACATTATATTTTATATAATAAAATCTCTTTCCAGGATATACGATGAGCCTATGAACTCAATATTCATTGAGCTGCCTTGAGTATATATACATAATGGTGGAGCATAATCTTTGGTCAAATCCACGGCGACCACAAAGGATGTTGTAACATGCATAAACAGCTCACACTATTACAAATCCCACCGACACTATCTTCACATCTACACGTGATTTCAACGTATCAATTACTCATTCATAGGAATCCTCATCACATATCTTTTTTTCTTCAGTTAAACAAATCCGATCCAAACAAGTGGAACAATTAATTATTCCAAACCACTCACACAAATATTAAAGTAAAAAAGAATTTTCAAATATTTTTTTTGTTTAAAAATCAAAAGATCGAACAAGAAAAAAGAAATCAACAAAAAGAAACAAGTTGCCCGACCGAGGCAAATGCCACGTGTAACATCACATGAGCCAAACTCCAAAACAAAGCCCGACAATCGCCGTAACGAAGGTACTCTTTTGAGTAATCATGACCGACACGGCACCATTTTTATCATCAGCAACCTCACCGTCATCATCTCCAGGAGCATCAGCGCTGGGTCCATCGGCGTCTTCATCGGCCTCCGCGTTTTTAGGTTTATGGTTACTCGACTTAGGAGCTGAAGCCGCCGCCTTAACAGTCTTATAGATCTCTCTCGGCAACAAAATTTTATCAATCTTGTAAACTATCAACGGCTCTTGATCTTTTAACGTCCCCGTAATCTTCGCCGTCACAACGTCCGTCTCAAGCGTCACTTCCTCTCCGTCGTTCTGAACGGTGAAATCAAACTTGTTGTCACCTTCCGTCGCTAACGTGTTAACGGCGCCGTTACCTGATCTAAGCATCTGCAAAGACTGGTAAACCGGCATGCCGTGGTATAACACTAACGCCGTCTTGTTCGCAGCAGAGAGAGCTTTAAACTTAGGCATGTATTTTCCGATAGCGCTGTCGGAAGGACAAAATACCGTCAAGCCTCCATCGACGGTGTCCTGGAACGTTTTGTCGGCGCCTGTGGATTTTAAGATGTCGGAGAAAGCCTTGCATCCTTGTTTCTCGAGGATTGTGGTGAGGATGAGATCGCTAGGGCTCGCAGTTGGAGCTTCTGCCTCCGGTGAAGTCAAGACTTGGCTGATGTGAAGAACAGAGATGTTGTAAGCCTTCTCAAATATAGATTTGACGTATTGAGCTGTGAGCTTGCTATCATCGTCTTGGACTCCGAAAGCAACTTTCCCACCTTTTATGTCGGTGATGTTAACGTAGCCAGAAGTTCCTGTAGCGGATCCGGTAGATTGGAACATGGATGCGGTGGATGTAGTGCCGTCGGTGATCTGGTGGAGCTTCTTGGCGCCAAAGTAATCGACGAGGACATGTAGGGAGAGGATGTTGCGGATAGTGTAAAGTGAGTAGCCTTTGGAGAGAATTGAGTTCATTGCTGAGTTGTCAACGGCTAGGACGGTGATCGTTTGCCGGCGGTTGATCTCATCGGCGAGATGAGTGGCTGTGAGGTAGTGGTTGAAAGTAGAGAAATCAGGGTCTTTGGCTAAAATTTTTGTTATGTTGTGGGCATTTGAAAGAGAAAAGAGGAGATGGAACTGGAAAATGAGGACCAACGCGGTGGCTGCTTGCCGGAAATGAGCCATTTTTGGGATGAATGATTCGGCCACTGTGATAGACGACTTGTGTGGTACCAGTTAAAGGGGGTCTTTTAATTATAAGAGGGAAACAAAATAAGAATAAAGCTGTCTCGCATATTTCCAGCGCTAAAGCAGGTAAATAGGTCCCACAGAGGTTTAGTCTGGGGTCACACTTGAGAGTAACATGGGTGTAATATACCTATACGGACAAGTATGATTATCGCAAAAACTGATATGAGTTTCTTAAAGCATTTTCTTATTATTAAAATAGGTTAAGAAATCTATATAAGAAATCTATATAAGAAACCCTTAGTTTTATAGTGTCTAATGGTAAATCTCTTAGAGGTTTTTTTTTAAAAAAAAATTTGAAAAAGTTTGTTGATGATTTAAGAATGTCAAGAGTCATGTGCCTCATGAAAATGACGAGAGTCAAATATAGAGATCAAGGATTCTCCATGATGCAACAAAGAACCTACGAATACCAAATATCCATCACAATGAAAACACCAAAAACATGTGCAATACGTAAGAAAGAATAGATGTGTCGGGATAAAGTTACACACATATGTTTCTGAAAACGCCAGTACCTCTTTGTGCCACCGGAGTATATGAAGAGCTTGGTAATAGATTAATGATATGCCGTGGAGGTCATACTATCGCAAAGGAAAGAGAGGAAATGGTCAAGAAGAAGGGTCAACGGAAGGATGAGCTGTCAAGTTTTAGTTGGTTGATTAGTATAAGTCAACAGAGTCAAACCTGTAACAACCTTGAGTATAAAAGGTTGAGAGTATTAGATATTTTCAGTCAGTTAGAAATTGAGAGTGTTGATTCTCTGGATTGTGGAGATCAAGTGGATTCTTATACGCTTGGGATTGTAATTCTTCTTTTCAATCAATAAAGAGCTTTTTCCTTAACAAATTGGTGCGTCGTGAGCGCTCTGGATCGCACTTCGCGAATCGAGAAGTAATGGCGTCAACAAATTCGAAGCACAAGTCCTCAAATCAGGTTACGGAGATTCCGACGATTCCACCGGTGACATTGGAATCCCTAGCTCAAACGGTGATGGATCATAAAACGGAGCAGCTGAAAAGCGAAGCATTAACTCACGCAATGATGACGGAGATGGCAAAACAGATGAAACAAATGGATTCTAAATTCTCGGAGTTTTGCGATGATGCAGCGAGATCCACCAGACTCGCCGGAGGTGATGGAGTTTCCGAATTCAGATTACCGTCATCAAGCAAATCAGGTACGTCGAACTAACATGGAACCTGGCCTTAGTGATAGATCAGAGGAAAATAGAGTTAGGAACACGATTGTTAGTACTCGGGAGAGTATGTTGAGACGAGTAGATCTTCCGATATTTGACGGCCAAGATTCATACGGATGGATCGCCTTAGCTGAACGATTCTTTCGGATTGGAGGTTATTCCGAAGAAGAGAAACTGGATACGGTTTCAATCAGTCTTGTGGGAGATGTTTTGAGCTGGTTTAACAGCGAGACACAAAGGAAACCATTCGCAGATTGGAAAGATTTCAAAGAGAGATTGTTCGCTCGTTTCAGTCGAGTGAAACTCAGAGATCCGAGTCAGCCATTCTTTAATATTCAACAAACGGGATCGGTGGTTGAAGATATACATTTGTTTGAAGACCTCTCACCTCAAGTCACAGGGGTAACAAACAAACAAAAGGAGGGAATATTCATGAACGGACTAACTCCGGAAATGAGAGAAGTAGTAAACATGTGTAAACCAGTGGACTTACCAGAAATGATAGCTTCGACGTATCAAATGGAAAACAGTTGCATACACAGTGTGGTGAAAAGAGAGATGCAACAATCGAATAAAACAACAACACTACATGTGAACAAGTCATATTCAAGCCAATCACTTCCTCCTTGGAAGATGAAGCAAATAACCAACAACGCTGGTCAGAACGGGAATAAGGCACAACAGACAAGACCACAACTGCGTTTGACAGAAGCTCAGATAGCAGAGAAGAAACGATTGGGCTTATGTTTCAAATGCGATGAAAAATGGTCACGCACACACCGTTGTGCCAACCAAACTCTGCAGGTTTTGATAGTGGTGAATGGTTTTGAGATGGAAATATTAGATCAAAATCTGATTGAAGTGGAAGAGGATTATGTGGTAGAGGAACCTGAATTGATGAAACTATCTTTAAACTCGTTCCTGGGAATAAGCTCACCGACAACAACAAAGATGAAGGGCTGCATTAAGAAATCACAGGTTATAGTGATGCTAGACAGTGGGGCAACATATAACTTCATTAGTCCACCGGGTTTGGTCAACAGGTTGAGATTGAAAACGGTGACAAATCCTCACTTGGAAGTGCTGTTGGGAACTAGAGTATCAGTCCAAGGACTTGGTATTTGTAGAACAGTAGAGTTGAGCATACAAGGTTTCACTTTCCGAGCTGATTTTATTGTCCTGGAATTGGGAACAGCAGATGTGATACTCGGAGTTCAGTGGTTGCGCACATTGGGCCGTTGCACAATAGACTGGGAACTACACGAGTTTTCCTTCATGTACCAAGGGAAACAAATCACACTGGTTGGGGATCCCACCTTACACAATCAGAAGCTCTCTTTCAAGAATATGCAACCCGAGTATATGGTCAAGCATAACAGAGCAAGCATTTCGTTGGGCAATATTGAAGTTCCAACAAGAAAAATACAGAAATAGCACAACCGATTGCAGAGGTTCTGGAAAGATTTGATCACATCTTTGACAAACCAACTTCCTTACCACCAATACGAGGAAGGGAGCATGCAATTAACCTGCAACCAGGTTGTGGTCCTATAAGTGTACGGCCATACCGTTATCCTCAGGCACATAAAGAGGCAATGGAAAAGCTAGTCCAAGAGATGTTAGACGCGGGATCTATCAGACCGAGTCACAGTCCGTATTCAAGCCCAGTCTTACTAGTTAAGAAGAAGGACAACTCTTGGAGATTCTGTGTAGATTACAGAGAATTAAACCGGGCAACGGTAGCGGATAAATATCCAATACCAATGATTGACCAGCTCTTAGATGAACTTCATGGAGCAAAGTTGTTCTCAAAACAAGATCTGCGATCAGGTTATCACCAGATAAGAATGCAAGAAAAGGATATTGAGAAGACAGCTTTTCGAACACATGACAGCCATTATGAGTTCATTGTCATGCCTTTTGGCTTGACAAATGCCCCAACAACGTTTCAGGCACTGATGAATGAGGTTTTTAGACCCTTTCTCCGGAAGTTTGTGTTGATATTTTTTGATGATATACTGGTTTACAGTTCAAACTTGTCGGACCATGTAAAACACTTGGAACAAGTGCTGAAGGTGTTCGAAGAACAGAAGTTGTTTGCAAACAAAAAGAAATGCTCTTTTGCACAACAGTCTGTGGAATATTTGGGTTATGTGATTTCAGCTGAAGGTGTATCTACTGATCCACAGAAGATAAGTGCTGTCAAGAACTGGCCGACACATAGAACAGTGAAGGATGTGAGAGGATTTTTGGGTTTAACCGGATATTACAGAAGATTTGTGCAGCATTATGGCTTACTGGCTAAACCTCTTACAGAACTACTCAAGAAGGAGGCGTTTGAGTGGACGAGAGAGGCACAAAACGCTTTTGACAGTTTGAAAGTTGCGATGATCTCAACACCGGCTTTGGCATTACCAGACTTATCACAGGTATTCATCATTGAATCAGATGCTTCGGGTTATGGCTTAGGTGCAGTGTTGATGCAGGGTAAACATCCGATAGCGTATTTCAGTCATGGGCTAACGGAGAAGGAGCAACTTAAACCTATATACGAGAGAGAGCTCATGGCTATCGTGCTATCAATTCAAAAGTGGCGCCACTATCTGTTGGGAAGGAGATTTGTAGTTCGGACATATCAACAGAGCCTTAAGTACTTACTCGAATAAAGAGAAGTAACTCTAGACTATCAGCGTTGGCTCACTCGTATTATGGGATACGATTTTGATATTGAATATAAAGTGGGCAGTGAAAACAAAGTTGCAGATGGTCTCTCACGGATAGTACCATCAACGACAACGTTACTATATTCCATCACTATTCCAACGAATCTGCAATTACATGATCTGTTTAAGGAAATTGATGAAGATGAAGAGATACAAGAGATATTACGGAAAGTATCTGCAGGGGAACCAGTTAAACCAGGGTATACGGTGGTTGATTGGTGACTCTTTTATAAGAAGAGACTGGTTTTACCTCAGTTATCCGCACATATTCCCTTGATTCTCAAGGAAAATCACGACAGTGTGTTGGGTGGTCACTCGGGCATTCTGAAAACTTAATGTGGATTAAATCAATGTTCTACTGGAAAAAGATGAGAGCTAGTGTGCAGAAGTATGTTTCGGAGTGTGCAACCTGTCAAACGAGTAAATACTCAACACTGTCTCTAGCAGGGCTCCTTCAACCCATTGAACTGCCTACAAGAATATGGGAGGATATATCAATGGATTTCATCGAAGGACTTCCAAAATCCCTCGGTGTAAATGTCATCTTAGTGGTGATAGATAGCTTAAGTAAATATGCACATTTCTTAAGTCTAAAACATCCATTTACAGCAAGTGAGGTGGCTCAGAAATTTGTGCAAGAAGTGGTCAGGCTTCACGGTTATCCTCGTTCGATCATATCCGACAGAGACAAAATTTTTCTGAGTTCCTTTTGGAGAGAATGTTTTAAAGCATCAGGAACTAAACTTCGTTTTAGCACGGCGTTTCATCCCCAATCAGATGGCCAATCTGAGGTTCTTAATCGCTGTGTTGAGACATATCTGCATTGTTTTGCATCCCAACAACCTAAGAACTGGGCAAAGTATTTGATGTGGGCTGAGCTATGGTAAAATACTGGATTCCATACGGCCACACAGTGTACGCCGTTTAAGTTGGTTTCTGGCCGCGATCCTCCGTCCTTGTTGAGCTACGAACCAGGATCAACGAGCAATTTTGAATTGGAGACTATGCTCAAAGAAAGAGATACGATGCTATCGATGGTAAAACAGAACTTGGTACGTGCTCAAAGTCGAATGAAGAACAACGCAGATAA